CCCAACACCCCTGCACCATCTATTACCAGCAATTGCAACAAATGATGCTTGCAGAACAGGCCCTCAGATTCGTTTTCAGGCACCCTGATCCATCAGCCCCCACCTCTGCCGGTAGACCACAGGCTCTCAGCTCCAGTTCCCGAGGAGTCAGCAGAGCCCAGTGGTCCTTACGCAAAGCTGGTGGGTTGCCTCATGTACCTGATGACTTGCAGACACGCCCAAATCTCGCATACCCTCTCAGCATCCTGGCCCGCTTTGTAGCCACTGGCAAATACCGACCACAGCACTGGTCGGCCGCTAAGAGGGTTTTGTGTTATCTTGCAAGTACATCGGGCATGAGGCTAGTGCTGGGAGGACGCAGGCCAGTGGTCCTTACTAGGCACACAGATGCTTCTTGGGCAGACGATGCTGAGACCCTCTGGTCCTCTCCGGGCTACTGCTTCAGCCTTGGTTCTGGTGCCATCTCATAGAGGTCCATTCGGTCCTCGTCTGTTGCTCAGTCTAGCTGCGAGGCTGAGATCTACGCCGGTGCCATGGCGGTACAGGAGCTCCGCTGGCTGACCTTCTTGCTTGCCGACTTAGGTGAGCGGCCTAGCTCTGCCCCGGTTCTGTACGCTGACAACAGGGCCATGATCCTCCTGTGTCATGAGCCTCGACTTGAGGGCAGAGCAAAGCACATCCAGCTGCGGCACTTCCCCCTACGCGAGCTTCAGCAGCGTCGCCAGGCCCGTGTAGTATACTTGGCCTCAGGTGCCAACACAGCTGATATCTTTACTAAGGCGCTTCCGCCTAGAGATCATCAGCGGCACTGCTTGCAGTTAGGTCTAGTCCCTGTTGACTCACACTCACTAGGCCCTTGATTGTGTACTCCTTTCTATTTATACCTTGCAGACTGGCCTTGTGGCTTTTCCTCCAATGGTTGGACTCGTAGTGCCGCCCCGATTTGCTCTGTCTTGCTTGTACTCTTGCTGACTGGTCTTCGGGCCCCTGCCTCAGAGGTTGGAGTAGTAGTGCCACCCTGAGCTGCGTGTTTCTTGCTCAGCACTACCCCTTATCTAGCCTAGGGGGCGTGTCAACTTACACATAAATTATTATGTAGAAGTTATAGGCTAGATATGGTATGTTCTTAGTGGGTACAACCCAAACGCTATATCTCCCCTGTTCTCCCTTCTTCTATTCATTGTTTCTAGTCTTAACGATACCCTCTATAGTAGGTTTCAGTAACACCTACCAAGCCTACAAATTATTAAATATATAATTTAATACACTCCCTAGGCTTGGTAGTAACAAGCCCACACACACCCACACCCCCTAACCTAGCCCGCCCTTTCCCAGCAGCAGCCGCGATGACTCCGGAATCGGTCAACACCCACGGCCCGGGAGATGGCAATGGCGGCAGTCGCGGCAGTGACGAGAGCGACGGCGGCGGCGGGGTGCGGCGGCAACAGGCCAGCGGCAACAGCGGCGGCGGCGGCGGCTTCAACGTCAGAAGCGAGTGCAGCGCCCCTCCCCCCCCCCCCTCTTGGCGGCATGGCCAATCTCATCGGCTGTGGAGAAGGCCCTCATGAGGCAGTCGACGGCTGTGGCAAGGAAGAAGGGACGCAGGGGAAGGAGGGGGGGGGGGGGGGTGGTGGTCCAGAATCACGCCCGTGGCTGGCGAGCGGGCGGCAAGTCTAATGGCGCCACAGGCGTTGCGCGGCCGGCTGCAGCCCGACGACGTCGTTACAGAGCGGCGTCGATGCCGTGGCGGGACGTCGACGCTGTGACGGCGGCACGACGGCGCCGTCACGCCGTCACGGCTGTACGTCGACGGTGCCTCCACGGCTGGACGCCGACGCCACGACGGCGCGACGCCACGGTAGCGCGTCGAGACGGCCGCGGCACGACGCGGCCAGCAGCACAACGACGCCGCCACAGCAGCACGATGGCGCCGTCACGCCGCCACGGCTGGACGTCGACGCCACGACGTCGCGACTCGACGGCAGCGCGTCGAGACGGCCGCGGCACGACGACGCCGCCACAGCAGCACGACGCAGTCGCCATGGCAGCGCGAGACGGAGAGAAGGAGTGCGCGACGGAAGCGTGGGGAGCAGGCCCGGGAAGGGGAATGTGCTCTGATACCATGTTAAACTAAGGTAGCTAGGAAGGGTAGGAAGCCATAGAATTGGCGAGAGGTTTTAGGCTAGGAAAGTTGAGGAGAGAAAAAAGGGGACGAGAATAGAAGAGAGGGATACAAGGAGGGGGGTTGTACCCTATACAGTAGGTTTCAGTAACACCTACCAAGCATACCAATTACATAACAAAATATATATTTTAACACCCCCCCCCCCCAAAAGGGGCTGAATTTTCAGGGTTCCCTAAAAAATGTCCCCTGATCAATCAGAGTTGCTTTCAAAATTTAGGCTGATATTAAAAAAAGCCTTCACACTGAAGCGGATTTGCTTGTAACGTGTTCTTCGTGCAAATTGCGTGTAGCGAAATTGCGCGTGGGGAGCGTTAGACGTACAAGAATCCAATTTTGTGTGTGGGGCGGGGGGGGGGGGGAGGGGGGGTTGTGTGAGTGGGTGTGTTGCGTGTTTGGGGGGGAGGGGGGGGAATTGCAGGGGCCGAGGGGAATCCTGCCCTCACAAAGCTCCAAGGCACACAAATCGGGCCCTAAATTAGGTGAAGGGCCAATAATTGCCCTCACACAGCCCCCAGCACACGTCGAGCCAGCGCCCCCACACAGCCTAAGGGGAAGGCAGCACACAAAACCTCCGTAATGTTGGCAGCACGCGCCACCAACCACGGTATCGGTATTGCCAGATTCAGGGCATACCCCTGGAGCAATGCTGGGGCATCAGAGTACACTATACAGAATACCTTGTAATTTCAGCGTTGGGTTTTAAAACATCCTACACATTCAGGGTTGGTACCGGAACAGGGCCTCAGATTGGTTTTAAGGTACCCTGATTGCTCAGGGTCCCCCCTCCCCTATTTCCCTGATTTTTCAGGACTACGTAAAAAAATTCCGCTGAGCTAATGGAGGTGGCTAAAAAAAAAATCATGAGTAAACAGGGTTGCACGCTAGAATGGCGGTGGACATCAACACTAGCAATTATTGTCAAACATATCTTTGTATGTTGTTATAGACTATACAGGGTTGTGCCTTAGGGAGTACAACCCACTAGGTTATATTCCCTTGCATGTCATTGTTCTAGTTATTCGTTAACTTTAATATGGTATCATGAAGACTATCCCCAACTGTTTGAGTTCACCATGAATGGACTGCACCTTGGTGACATAGTCCGCCATGCCTGGCGAGTCCTCGAGCCGCACTTCGAACATGCTGGGGATGAGTATAGCAACTCCCACTGCAGTCTTGTTCAGGAAGCGATCTTCGAGGTAGAGCCAAATGGCGATGGCAGACGGGTAGTTGTGGTAGGTTTCGACGAGTTCGGGAGGAGTGGTGCCCATGAAGACACTAATGACCGCACCATCGGCCTTCTCCCAATTCTTGTACTTGAGCAGCGCAGCAGCATAAACTGCTTCGGCGACGGCATTAGCTGGATCGGCGGACCTCTCGGGTTTAGGAGGCTCTTTGCCGTCACCGATGTTGAGAAGGACGTCGGTGAGCTCGAGCCCCTTCACCTTGCGACTGAAGAGGTGCTTGTCGACACCATAGCGCCAAGCCTTGTAGTTGGAGCATGTGCCGTCCGGCTCGAGACGAAGGAGCGGGATCGGGTTAGCGAGTGAAGTGGTTGAGTAAGCCATTGTCGGTGTGCAGCGCGGCACTTCTGGAAATTGGTCGACGAGAATTGCTGAAAATCACTCTGACGGCTTTATCAAAATGCCGTTAAGTAGGAAATGGCGTCGGCGAAAATTCGTTAAAACGCCGACTTGAAACTGAATCTGAGCCTATGTCTAACCCCGGACCCACACACCCCCCCATACACCCCCAGGCCCTGTCCCGCAGCTACACAGCTCCGCAACCAGCTCCGCTCGGCTTCAACCTGTGTACCTGCTCTTGCTTGACGCGAGACGTTCGTGGAGGCGATTTCGCGAGGGGAGTTCGCCTATTCTGGCGGGGTCTGAGGGGAAACTCAAGAACGAGTTTTAAGAGATGGTCGAAATTGAGATTCGACCAAGGAGAACCGAGGAGGAAATCGACGACGAGAAGCGTGAACACTTCAGAGATGAGAAATTCAACGAGGTCGAGTGTGAAGGCGGTCAACGATGAGAGGCGCGACTGCAGAGTGGAGCACGTCGAAATTCCGACGACTCGAAACGAATGTCGCGACGATGAAGTGCGCGTAGCGCGGGCACGTTAAGATTAGGACCTTGATCCACGTGTACGGATAGGTCGCTCTGATACTATGTAAAAAATAGAGTTGAAATGATTAATTAGGAAAGGAGCCCAAGGCTCTATAAGTACATGGCAAGGTGAGAGTGAATGGATGAAAGGGGAATTGGAGGGAATCCCCATTGGGATCTCCGGAATCTCCAATTGGGTAACTGGAGATTGGGGGGATCACAATTGGGTAAGGTTGGGATTTGTGAGTACACCCCAACCTGTTATGATTAAGGACGGAGTCTACGTGAACTTAGGAGCTAGAATTACTCAAAATATAAATCCGAAATTCTGGACAGAAAAGTCGTCTTCACAAGAAACAACGTAGACAAACAAATAGCCGTTGGAATATCGCGAAACTCAGATATGTGGTAGCTCTTAATCTCAGCTACCGTTCCCAATTTGAATCACGTTTATTGATGAAGTATTCGCGACGCTATGGCTTTCGACGCATTAGGGGGTAAGCTGTAGAAGGAGAACTTAACTCAATCTCAAAAGTTCAATCAAAGTTCAAGAATCTCACAAGGAATTAGAGGAGCAAGAGAAAGGTTGGGATAGAAAGAGAGGGACGAGAGGAAATGTCCCAAGAGAGTCCCCAACCAAGGAAACCTCATAAGCACAGAGATTCCCTCCCTATAGGAACCCCAACTTTGACATTTGTCCCTTCCCA